GGTAGGCTTCTGTCTGTGGTCTCCCGAGCCTGTAGACAAAACGAGGGATTACCATCAGCTCGCAGTCTTCTGTGCACCTCAGCCAAAATACTCCATGTCTCTCAGACAGGCTCTTGTTGAACATCTCCTCAATGCCAAAAGTTGTTGAGACGTTCTTCGTTTTATCAGGTCCGATAATCTATATAAACTCGTACATATCTATCGCAGTTCATCCGCTGATCCCTGAGACGCGAGGGCAAAGCAAAACGCCGTGGCCTCTTCAGCATTGAAGCTTATGGGGCTGCAGGCCGTGCCCCAGGTAGTTCTAACTGATCCCGTTCGAGTTCGAGTTCAAGTTCGAGTTCGATGCGCGAGATTGCGTGGATCGAGCGAGAGGGGGGTGGACCAGTTCGAGTTCGAGTTCGAGTTCGGATCGACAACACAATTATCGACCCGGGGGGGGTGGACCGGTTCGAGTTCGAGTTCGGGTTCGGATCGGCGACTAAGAGACTTATAAGGGGGGGTGGACCAGTTCGAGTTCGAGTTCGGATCCACAACAACAGCAACGAGAACCAACAGCAACGACAACAACCACAACCGCAATCGCCACGACCCACAACACAGAAGAAGAACAGGAACCAACCAAGCTAGCAACAAAGCAATCAACCTGTTGAAAGTATCCGCGCTGCGCAGTCTCATCTTTGCAGCCAACACTTGTTTTATTAGGATCTGGTGTGCTGCTGGGGGGGGCGCTGCGCCCCCCCCCCAACCCACCAGAGCCACGAAATCTGCACTTCCTCTCCAAAACCCGCGCCTGCCACGAAATCAACATTTTAGTGTGAACTCCCTGCCGCAAAAAAAACCTGGAAACCAACCAACCAACCAACAGCCACCTGCCAGCGGCGCCAGCAGCAACCAACCATCTGACCACAACGTAGCATCCCTTTTGTGGGCCATCCGAGGTTAAAATTTAGAATAGGAAGAAGCCTATTGCAACGTGGCATGCCTTTTGTGGGCCACCGATACAGTTTAGAGTAGGAAAAAGACATTGCAACGTAGCATTCCTTTTGTGGGTAAAATTTAGAAAAGGAAGAAGCCATTGCAACGTAGCGTGCCTTTTGTGGGCCACCCGAGGGTAAATTTTAGAGTAGGAAGGAGCCATTACAACGATTTACAACGTAGCATTCCTTTGATGGGCCATTCGACCGTAATTTTTAGAAAAGGAAGAAGCCATTGCAACGTAGCATGCCTTTTGTGGGCCACCCGAGGGTAAAATTTACAGCCGGAAGGAGCCATTATATTACACTGTAGCATTCCTGTTATGGGCCATTTGAAGGTGAAATTTAGAATAGGAAGGAGCCATTACAACGCAGCATTAGTTCGAATTCGACTTCGAATCGACGATAATTTTTCACTCCGGGGGGGGAACTAGTTCGAGTTCGAGTTCGAATTCCAATCGACGACAATTTTGACGCCCAGAGGGGGGGAAACGCAGTTCGAGTTCGAGATCAAATTTCGAATCGACGACAATTTTGACACCGGGGGGGGGGACCAGTTCGAGTTCGAGTTCGAATTCGAATCGACGACAGCGATTTTGGAGTTCGACTCTTTCTATTCGTCCACTGGTTTGACTTCTAACAGTTCCAGTTCGAGTTCGAGTTCGAGATCGAGTTCGAGTTCGAGTTCGGTTCCTTCCATATATATCCTTTCAAGGTTAAGTTCATCAATACTGTATATAACTGTTTCAGTTCGAGTTCGAGTTCGAGTTCGAGCGGGGCACACTATGCCGGCAAGGGAGCCCGAAACTCGGGCGTCAAACCCTCTAGATCGATTGATCGATCGACCGATCCATCAGCAGCTGCATGGCTGCCAAACTCCAGCTCTTCACAGGGTTCCTCACAAAGTTTCGAGTGCTCTGCCAAGACCTTTATGATCTTTATGTCCTTTCATCACCCCCTCAACCGGCACACGCGTCCGCCGCGTGAACTGCGCGCGATGGGTCCATGTAGAAGGAGTTCACCTTCAAAGCTCGATGAGCACAGTTCATATCCAGCTTCCAGGATGCCACCTTAGCAGCCCAAATCAAATCCTTCAAAGGCAAAAAGACTGCCCCGCATGGTTGGACCAGTTCCAGCAATTAGGGCACACTGCCAAAACAGAAGCTTCTTGGATTCTTGGAGTCGATTCCCGATGCGCGGAAACTCCAACCAATAGTATCTGATCCGCTTAGTGTTCCCTCTTCTTGGGACAGTCTGCACAGTGACACCAGCGCTCCAAACAACCTATCATGCAAAACCTTCGCGACACCTTCGACCGTCTGCGGTGTCCCAGGCGCCGAGAGATTGCGCGACAAGGTCGTACGTAAGGACTTCTGATGGTGCACAGCCGTCTTAGCATATGTGGCAACAAACTCCTGGCGACGTCACCGTCCCACCAGGATCCATCCGGGCAGATTAAACGGTTCAGCGGCCCAAAGACATGCCAGCATGATGACAAACGTTCCTCTCGACATTCAGAAGCACTTTGAACAATGCACTTCTTAAGACTTTCTGACACACTACAAAGGGAGTTGAAGAGGGAAAAGGAACAAGCGGGGGTGCAACATGCCAGTAGAAAAGGTGCCATGAATCACAGCAACAAGTTGCAGCGCACAACATATATACTGTAGTTGTGCCCCAATAAATGCCCACAAGCGTAAACATGAAAGAGTTGCAAGCAAAAAGTCGCGGGTTCACTGACTGACCAAACAATTATATAACTATATGCAATGTGAAAACCATTGGAGAAAAAAACTAATTACGAAGCACAATGCCCGGACACTAAAAAACAAAGAAATCGGTGAGAAATGTTGAAGTGGAAGAAGCACAAGGAAGAAGGTTGGAAATCGGTGCTTTTCACAGTCAACTGGGTGCGCGCCTTTTCTGCGGTTTCTTCCAAGGTCTGAATGCCTTCAACACCAGGTCTGGTTGTTTGCTCTCGTCTCGTCTCACTGTTTCCCTGTATTCTTGAGCTACGACAAGAAAGGAAACAAACAAATCAAACACCTCCAGGGATCCACTCCAAAAGCTTGCTACTAGGAGCAAGGACGCTACTAGGGGCTCCTGGCCTTGCTACTAGGAACCAGAAGGTACTAGGAACAAAGGGCATCGCCACAAGGAACAAGGACGCTACTAGGGGCTCCTGGCCATACTGCTAGGAACAAAAAGCTACTGGGAACAAAGGGCATCGCGACTAGGAACAAGGACGCTACTAGGGGCGGGCGCTCCTGGCCTTACTA